AACGTCAGAAGAGAAATATTTGAAGACCTAAAGAATCTAGCTAATCTCTATAAGATCTAGCTATATATATATATCCAATTTAATATATAATATCATAGATACCTTCGGGTATGGTTTTCACCTAAATAGGTTTTTCCATACTCTATACGCAAATACGGAAGGAACCACTTAACCCTGTGAGATTGAGATTTAGGAAGATATATATCTAGCTATTTAATAGCAGTATATATATATATCGATCCTATCTACTCTATACTAATCTCTATACTCTACTGCTATCTGCACTATAGTATAAAGATTACGGGGGGGTGTGAGATATTTGGTGTGAGATATAGGGCAAGATGCCTAAACCGTCATGCAGTATATCAAGCTAGATTCATAAGGCCTATACAAGATAGCTGAATCTCTATAAGCTTTATGCTATACCATCATCACTACGGTCAATGACATCAAGTAAGACGTATACAACAGTATACGATCTACATCATCACTACGGTCAATGACACGATCTACATCATCACTACAGTCAATGACATCGTACAATCAAGCAACCACCGATCAAACAGCTACTGTATGATATCACTATGCATCTAGATCTGTCTATATAAGATCATTATGCATTATCTAGAACGATCACATGCAAGAGACAAGTTGATTATAAATATGCCCTGCTTTCTCTACCAAGATAAAAAATAAAAAAATACATACAAGCAAGATTTAATATAATCAACCAAGCTTCAGTCCTACTTTACCTTTCTCTCATCTTATGATTCTAAGCCGAATTGAACTTATCCTTCCTATTCAATCAAGAGGAAGAAAGATCAATCGATCTTATTTAATCATCCTTAATTTATCTTCCTCTTTACCAACCTGCGCAGCATCGCTTGCTCACAGTAGGTAAGCAAGGAATAATATATATTAATTATAAAGTATACTAGCCCCTAGACCTTTCTTAACTACTATTATCCTCTATAGCTCGATACCGATATAATTCGGGTTATCTATAGCCTCGACCTAGATATAGAACTAATACGAGCTGTTATATAGTAAAGTTAGGGGGCCATTGTTGGCACCCCATGAGAATTTGGCCCGTACCCCATAAGGCCTGATTTCGGCCTGAATTTCTGCCTTACCATATAAATTACTGCCAAGCTTGTTAGAGCTATTACTTTCAATTATCTACATCCTTCTTTCCTATATCCACGTACTAAATCTCTCCTCTAAGAGATCACATGACCTACTATCCTCTCCTTAGGTAATTTGCCTACCAATTTACTAATTACCCCTCCCCTCTATACTAGGCCCTATTCCTACTATAGATCTTTTAACGGCAGCATCCGCTAAATCTCTATCTAATTTAGACTAATCTACCCTAGGGCCTTCTATCCTACCTACCTATCCTCTTCTTCCACTACCCGGTCGTACCTACTAATCGTGTAAGATTACTAGGGAGGATCTTAAGGATTTTGCCGCTTAACAGGGCTACACCCTAGTAGTAAAGAGATCTAACGAAATCAAGATTAAATTATACTATTCTCTCTAGCTAGACCCTATAAAGAGAGGTCCTTTAGTAGCTAGTAAGGCTAAATCGCGAGAGGTTAATAAGATTAGGACTAATTGCCTATTCTACGTCAAAATCTGCCTCCGAAAGGATAGGAAAAAGGTTAATCCGGACCGAATTAAGATTATCGTCAAAAACGGGATACATAATCATAAGCCTACACCAAAAAACCTTCTTATTCCTCTAAGGTAAAGAGAGAGGGAAGAAAAGGCTAAGCGACTCCTTGGTTACTTAAAACAGGGCCATAAACCTATAGCAATTTAGCAGATTTTAAAGGTAGAGGGAAGTCTTCTTAACTTGAACGATATCTATAATCTCCGTACCCGAGTAAGGCAACTTTTCCTCTATAGGCGTATATTAATTGAAGCTATAGTCAAGAGCCTACCGGGTTAGATTATATACTATTAATTAGATAGTTAGTAACGGCTAATCAGAATCCTCTTTATCTTAAAGTAAGGCCTTAAATTTCTACGTATTTACCTAAACGTCCTATAGATAGATACTATATATAAGACTAATTAGTAAGAGAGAGATTAATTAGTTAATTAGTTAATTAAGCTAACTTCCTAGTTAGGTATAATATACTATTAGTCGATATTATCGGGTAAGTCTCTACTAGAAAGAACTTCTATATAGCCCTTTACTTTATAAGTAATAAGTAAGAAGTATCCTATTTTTAGATACTCTAGACTCTTTAAATATAGCTTTTATAGGCAAAGATTTAAGCCCCTCGTGTCCTTATTTTAGACGACGTAGACTCTCTTTTAAATATATATAGGTAAGTCTTTAAGGATAGCCAGGGCCTACTTTGCCTCTAGTATATTATAAAGAATATTAAGACTCGAGTTCGGCCGTTAATTTTAAAGGAATTACTCCTATAGGGCCTTCCTAATTAGGAAGCTTAGACGAAAACTATCTAATTATAGCAAAATATGAAGGCTAAATTTATATAGATTATCCTAGAAGGGATAGAAGATAGGATAGAAGCTAGGAAGGCCTCTTTTCTAGAAGACCTAAGTAATCCTATCTACTAATTAGTAATTAAATATATCGAGAAATAGTAGTTTATTCAAGATAGAGCAAAGCGCTTTATACGCTATTATCTTAACGGAGTTCTTTATTATAATAAGCTTACTTCCTCGCGCGTAGAAGGAGCCTATACAAAGATTAAGAAGGAACTTTAGAGCTTAACCGGCGATATTCTTATAATAATATAGGGAGTCTCTCGAGTTATTTCCTATACAAATTAGCAGGCTTTCTACTTAATCTAATCCTAAATCTATTATAAACCCGTCTCTCTTTAAGTCCTATTATTCCGCGATATCCTCGGCTAGGTCTTAACGTACGCAATTCGAAGAGTATATACCGTCTAGGGTGAATATCTTCGAGTAGATAAGTAACTACCCCCTTACACCTAATACTAATCGCGCTCGATTAGTCTTCCGTGTAATTATATAATTAAAGATCTTCAGGATAGTAGCAATCCTCTTCTCTAATCTTATTTCGACTAACAATACTAGCTATATTTACCGAATCTTCGGCCGAATTAAACAATTAGAAGGACTAATTAGAGAGAAGGAAGGCTTCGTATTAAGGAACCGAATTAGGTAAAGGGTATTAGCCGACCGAAGTTACTAGAGACTATTAAGCGTTTTCGAAGATAGAGATAGAAGTATACTACCGGTCGTAACTCTAGGGTAAAGAGAAGTCGGAATACCTACGTTTCTATAGATAAAACTATAGGAATCGTAGTACTACCGCCTTCAAAGAGACCTAATATATCGATAAGGCGAATATCTTCGAACTAGGAGAAGAAACTTAGGCAAGGGCGTAGGGCGCGCGGTCGCAAGGCAAAGAGATTAGTACTAGTAGAAAAGGATAGGGAGAGACGGGCAAGGTAGATTAGTAAGTAGCGATTTAGCCAGAAACCTAAGGCTTAATAGGTCATATAACTAGTCTAGTAGATAGAAGATAGAAGATTTCGAAATTAATTTATATAGGTTATATAATCTCTTATAAGCGAATAGCCTTAGGAAAGATTGTATTAGGTCACGTGACTACCTAGTAAAGATAGAAGGGGTAAGGGATTAGGTATATAAATAAGAAAGAGATACGTGGTTAAACTTGTATTAAATTATTATGATAGCCTTAGCAGAAATCAGGTAATAAGGCAGAATTCAGGCCGAATTCAGGCCGAAATCAGGCCTTATAGGGTACAGGCCAAATTCTTATAGGGTGCTAATAATGGCCCCCTAAAGTTATTAGTAGGATACGCGACGCCTACGCTATTTAACTAATTAATAAAGGGTATAACTTAAGGATTACCCCGAGTTAGAAGAGGCCCGGCGTAAACTTAGCTAGATCCGTGCCTAATACGAGAAGACTTAATAGCCTGCCCTGCTCCCTTAAATCTAGTAATAGGAGAAAGAGGTAAGAAATACGCGAAAATAGTTATAAAGGAGCTTATAGTATTAAATCTAAGAGAATTTTAATAAAGAGTAAGCGTTTCTAGATATTAAGACGTAGTTATCTAGTATAGTAGTTAAGGAAGAGAGTAAGGATAAGTTATCCTTAGAGAATACTATATACCCCCTTTAGTTATATCTAGTATAGAGTCTTCTTTCCTACCTAATCTCTAGCTCGTTAGAGGATAAGTAGAATCGGCGCGATACGGGTGCTATAGCTATTATATAGTATTATAACGTTCTTAAAGGAGGTCTATTAAGGGGCCGGCCTAAGTAGAACGTCTCTAAATCTACTACGTCGGCTAGTCCTATAAACTAGCTGTAAGATATAGGGTAGAGCTAAAATATTACTAACTTATATAAGGTACCTATTTCTATAGCTAGCAAGCCGTCGCGTACTACTAAGGAATACCTCGAGAATTCTAAGAAGCTAGAGGCTTACTTTTAATACTTTATAAATAAGGGGCTCCCTAACTATATTCGCTTCTAGATATATTATAATACTAGGTATATTACGCGCTATTTTAACGCTATTTATCTTAAAGAAAATCTACTTAAGTGTAACTAGTATAAAGTAGCCTTACTATATTAAATAGCGTTCTAGCGCTATACTTTTAATATATATTATATACGTAGTTATAAGCGTTACCCGAATCCGGTATAGGAACTTTAGAGATAAGAATAAGTAGGCTATAATATCCTGAATAGTAGTTAAGTAGGGGGGGGGGAGGAGTCCGGATAAATATAGGTATATACTATCTATCTATTAGGGTAGCGTATATAACGCTATAGCCTAGTTTTATCACTATCACTTCTTGACGTCTAATCGTATAATATATCTTAGGATATTGCGATCGTACGAAGTCTAATTATTTCTAGGGGCTAAGTCTATTACTCTTAGTTCTTAGGTATGTAAAGGGCCTTATTCCCCTAGCTAGTTATATACTCTAATATTCTCTTTTTGTCTTCCTAGGCCGGCTTCTATCGACTTTCCTCCCCTAAGCGTAACGACTAAGATTAAGATAGCAAGCCTATCCGATATAATTATTATAACTAATAACGAGGAATTGCTAAGCCTCGAGCTAGGTAGTTCACAATCTTAGAGGGCCCCTCGCCGTGATTATAGTTACTAGGAGTTCGAGAATATAATTGTTAAAGTAGTCGATAATAAGACGGAAACGATACTATTACGTAAACGTAAAAGAACTAAAACGAAGGAGCTATCTATATTAGTACTAGTTCCTTATAAGGCCTTCTTCTTCCTTAACTAATAACGGACTAGGACAACGCCTTTAAGGAGCTCTGAAAGGTAGTTAGCTATAAAATATAACGGCTATAAGAGAAAAATCGTAAGCTTCGAGATAAACTTCGCTAGAAGAGGGAGAGACACTAAAAGACGGAAGAGGAACTTTCCTAATAAAGAGAAAAGCGTATTTTAGAGTATAAGATCTACTATATTGATGGTGTCATAGACACCAAGCACACAGGAAGCAGGGGAGAACGAAGTCAGATTGGTCTATCTAGGAGAGCAAGAGGACGAAGAAGGAAAAGAAGAAGGGAAAGGCCTATATAGGCCTATAAGAAGAAAGAAACAAAGGCCTGGGCCTGCAATTAGCAAACCTGTAGGGCAAAGGAAGACGAGCGTATACACTACCAAACGGGCAAGGTCGAGGTCGAGTTATCATATCCCCTATAGGGCCAAGGCCGAAGAAATCTAATGTGATCAAGGTTGAAAAATCCAAAACAATCTTGTAATAAGCTAATCGTAAATGCAATCTTGGTAACAATAATATGATGTGAAAGAGCTTCAGAAACTACGTTTCCTGGCATATAGCAATAGTAGGAAATAAAGCAGGAAGGTCATGAAAAAGATCAATCTTGTGAGAAAGAGTTTGTTATAAATCGCAATTTAGCGATAAATGCATTTTGAAAATTAATTTGATAAAATCAGCTTAGAGGTCTTCGTATATATAATAAATTGTCTCGGTTGTCTTCGAAAATACTAAATAGCTTAGATTTCGTCAGGATATCGGCTAGGTTATCCTTGCTAGAGATGTTGATCAAGGTAATAAGATTTTGTTTGATTAAGTCGCGTACTAAATAGTATCTCGTGCTGATCTATACGACTTTAGTACTTAATTTGCTATTAGTAACAATTTTGATAGCGTTGTCTGAATCGTAATATAAAGGTAATAGATTGTTAAAATCATCCTTGCTTAATAGGGGAGCTAGAGTTAGCTTATTAGCTAACTTAGCAAGTATAAGGCTATCTTTGACTACACTACTTATAGCACAGTATTCAGCTATTATTAAAGAAGTTGCTATAATATCTTGTCTACGAGATAACTATGTAATTAGCGTACCCGCAAAGAACTAAATATAGCCCTTAGTAGATTTTCTATATTCTATATTAGCGTATAAGGAATCTATAAAACCTTCAAGACCTTTCGTAGGGTCTCTTCTAAATAGGATACTATCAACTTATATAGGATCTCCCCGCATAATGACTAAGCCGCCATAATCTTTTCCCCGGAAGAAAAACCATGTCCACCACATTGATTTATATTGATCCTCAACGATCTCGTATTGAACTGCCTATATTAGCCGGAGACTACTCAACACTCCAAGATAACCTCGGATATTCTTGATTTCTTCATATGATATTTACTATATACCTCGAGTTATAAATTCTGCCTATTTCCTTAGTTAAATAGAACAAGTTTAATATCTTTTTTATCTAAGGAAGAATTACCGGGCATAGTAGACTATCTAAATCAACCTTCCACTACTTAATTCTTCTGTCTAATCAGCCGATTGTGATCTATCCTGTTTCGTCTCTCTTCTATAATCGTAGTACTAAGATTAGTGCGTACGATCGATTCCTACCACAGTTTTATGCACTATACGCAATTCCAATAGTTATAAGCCCGAGCCTCTGCTAAGGACTCTATTCTTTACTTTCATCTTATCTATCTTTTACTTTCGTCTTAGAAATAATAGATTCATCCGATCTACGAGCTACCTAGCTTAATTACCCTCTTAAATACCACGCATATTAGGTCCCTTGGATTACTATAGTTAAAGATTATATACTAGTAAATAGTGTATAGAAATACGTTAATCTAGACCTACCTACTCCTGCTATACCGCTACAGGAACTAACTAAGCTATATCTATCTAATATAATCAAAAAACCTGCTAATACCTTTATATCTGATCTTCCTAATAAGCTAATCAGACTTATTAATCTTATATCCGATTAGTTAGCTATCTATAGGATCCTACTTAGCGAATATAAGTTAGTAAGATCTGACTACCTACGTTATATACGATCTATCGAGATCTTGAAGTAAGGAATTAGATCCTCTCTTACGCTAGAAGGGAGACAGATTATTAATAGCTTAATAGTACACGAAGCGATTACTAAGCTACGCGCTATATTCGCCCTATTAGACTAATTAAAGAACCGCTAAATCCTACGCGACTAGGATACGATTAAACGACAAATACTACTATCTAAATCGTCTTATCTTGCTTAATAGGGCTAGAAATAGGTAATTAGCTAATTAGAAGGCGAGAAAGCCGGAATTGCCTACTTCTAAGACTCACTATCTCTAGTATACGATTTCCTAGAAACGATTCAATCTAGCGATTAAGGCTTCTATACCTTCTAGTATAATACGATCCTCTAAGGCCTAAAGAGACCTACCTTAACTAAACTAGTTAATTAGTTTATTAACTAATACCGACTAATCGTCTTGCCTAGTAGACGACTAATTACTTATCTAACCTATTAGGGACGAGAACCTAATAACGAATCTACTTATCTAACCTATCAGGAACGAAAACCTAACGAAGATTAACTAATTAAATCTAGCCGAAGGGGGATTTGCCCTTATAAAGGACCTCCTAGTAATAGCTACTACGATTTTGACAAGTGCCTATATATTAATCTACTAGTTAGACTAAAGGGCTAGTCGCCTGACTAGAGAGCTAAGAAGAGCTTCTAGTTCCGATGCAAATCTTTACCTCCGTTTAAGCGATAATACGAAAAAGCTATTAGAGAACACTAACTAGACGAATTAGATTAGCTAGATATTAGCGATTCTAGCTAATTAGATTAAGCTAGAAAGCGAGACGCCTTTTTAGCCTTTATTCCGAAGAAGGAAGCCGATAACCTCTTTCGAGAAGAAGATAGGATAGCTATAAGTATAATCAGGATCTCCGCTAAGCGAAGCAATACCTAGTGTATTTATTTGGGACGGTAGGTACATCACTTGCTTCTAGTATTATATAGCCTCTTCCTCTGGAGTTATTTTCAGGTTGCATGAAAATAACCCTATGGCAATAACACAGCTAAAGTATAGTAAGTTTGGTGATAGCTCGGCGTTGATTTCCGTGAAAATAGCAAACGTACGGGTATCCAATATCGCGGACACGAACTTCCAACAGAGGACATCCTGACCGATGGATACCAGGTTCGGTATCTCAAGAAGTAGCTGTTCGGGGGAGGCGTTTGGTCGAGTATGCCGCTAGAGGAATGAACTTAAGCTAGGCTGACTAGCTTTACTGAAAGCGAACACTTGGCTACTCCAAAGTGGAGAAAGGAGTGTATAGCAGCCAACTAATAGTATTGATTCGTTGTTCCTTCTACCCCTTGGAGCTTTTCAAGAGAGATTGTGAGGCTTGAGCAAGTAAAGTACTAGGACCCGAAATCCCCTCCTTCTTGCCTGGCAAGAGTCCGCACAACATTCAGCAAAGGACGTGAAAGATGGGAATATGAAGAACAGAGATATTTCTCTCCAAAGGACTTAGTGGTGTATGGTGGTCAATATGCTTTGGAGTAAACCCCCTGCGCATGCAAAGGATTTATTTGGGACGGTAGGTACATCACTTGCTTCTAGTATTATGAGCCCTCGCCACTGACGGACGACAGATCTCAATATTCCGGAACCAGATGAGGTATGATCGGATCCACCGCTCTTGGTGAATGGGTTTAAAACTAACCCATATGCATGAAAAGGTGGCCATTAAAGATTCCGAGTCAAATACTCGGAAGGATGTGAACATCTTTCACCACCCTTCCATGAAAGTCAGACTAAAACAAGCGTTCTCTAAAGGGGTTGCTGCAGTGAGTAGGATCGATCCTATTCTTGGGCCTAGCGTCCTCGAAATATGTTCATAGAACGATGGTGATGATATACTTCGATCCTTGAAAGAACGATTTAAAGATATTTTCCATGTTCTTCGTGTACTTTGCTAGAGTGAAAAGGGGTAGCTTTTTATAGTGATTCGTGTCCGCGATATTGGATACCCGTACGTTTGCTATTTTCACGGAAATCAACGCCGAGCTATCACCAAACTTACTATACTTTAGCTGTGTTATTGCCATGGGGTTATTTTCATGCAACCTGAAAATAACTCCAGAGGAAGAGGCTATCCAAATGCCCCTCTAAGCTTCCATTGCCTTCAAGTCAACCCGCTAGGATGGATATCACTCAAACCCACGAAGATCATCCTGCGGCTTCAGATTGCCTGCCCTTTGCATGCGCAGGGGGTTTAGCTTCTCTGGACCAGCCAGATCGTAGGGCTGGCCACGCTTTTCCCCTCTGTACGCTACCGTAAGCAAAGCTGCTTCTCTGGACCAGCCAGATCGTAGGGCTGGCCACGCTTTTCCCCTCTGTACGCTACCACAAGGAAAGCTGCTTCTCTGGACTGGCTAGATCGTAGGGCTGACCACGCTTTTCCCTGCCCTTCCAAGCTATCCCAGGCAGCTATGCTTCTCCCGATAGAACCCTTCGTAGGGCGGACCACGCTTTTCGGTTATAAGGCTACAACAAATCATTATATTGAACATCGCCGCAAAGTTCCAGCTCTTTTGGTCAATCGCTCAGATCTCCTGAGTTAGAAGAGATGCCTTCGTCATACGATAGTTTGCGTTTCGTTGATCCCGCTCAAAGGAGCTACTTCCTGAGTAACAGCATCACTAATCATTGAAGCAGTATCCCGGTCTTCCTCGTTTCCGAAATGATACGATCATCATCATCCAAGGCTGCCAACACCCTTGCAGGAGCTATGCGCCTCAGGGGCAGATTTAAAGCCCCTATACTGCCGCGATGGTCCAGAAGCGAAGTGTGAAAGCACCTGGAGGCGCCGAGGTTCGACGATTAACTGATCGATTGACGTGTGAGGTTGCGGATGAAGGGTGAAAACGCCCTATCTCAACTGCAATAAAGAAAACCGAGCCGAAACGAGGCCGGGCGGAGGAAGGTAGCGCAGACCGCACTTAAGTACTCGGGGAGAGAC